TCACCTCGTGCTCAGCCTTAAAGTCACGAGGAGAATTGCGGGGCTTTCATCTTTTGGCTGCTGGTGGCACCGAAGTGACAGGGGCCAGATGATCTGGGCACACTCACACTGGTGCTTGTGATCCAGTGAAATCCATAAGGAAGAGTGTGAAAGGCAAAAATCCACTTTCTGCAAGATTTTTATATTATCAAACTTCTCTCTTCTCCCCGAAGATGCTGCAGGGAGTTTTATTCCTCCAGTTTCCTGTGGCTGCAGAAGGGAGTTTCTCATTCCCAGGAGCAGGGTCTGCTCATTATCTAATTGCTGATTAACATCTAATTCTGCATCCTGGAGCTGCAGGCAGGTCCCAGGTGAGCTGTTGTGAGCACTGGGCACAGAGCCAGCGCCTGTTCCTGGACCAAGGAAAATTGTACCTCCGGCATTCCCAATTCTTTGTGTGGAATTTAAGGACTTGCCTGAGTAAAGAATCAGCTGGAAAATGGGGAAAGCATCATTCCTATGCAGAGCTCTCTCCACCTTCTGCCTCAGCATTGCTTTAATGTTGGCTGAAATCCTGGGACCCCTGGAGCTGAACATCCTTTGGAATTAAAATTCCTACGTGGAAGTCCTTTCCACATCAGTGGAATAGCTTTGGGTCACTTTTGACTTCAAAATTTCAAAAAAAGTTTTCAAAAAATTTCAAAAAAACTGTTCAAAAAAAGTTCAATCTTTGTCTTGGATAAATCTGATCTTGTGGAAGCTGTCCCTGCTCGTGACCAGAGTGGTTGGAACGAGGTCTTTTAGGTCCCTTCCAACCCAAAACATTCCATGATTCCGTGAAAAAAGCAAAGCCAACCCTGAACACCCCAATTCTGCCCTGGTGGAGGAAACCGTCTCCACCTGGGAATGATAGAAAGGTGACAGAGAGAAGCAGGAATGGGAATGACCAGGAATTACTTCATTCTCCAGCCCGTGGAGACACAAAGGAGATGCTGAGACCAGAGTTTTTCCATGCTTTGATGAATCCTAATTATGGTACTAAAGCTGCTTCTTCTGGAGGCAGTTTTCCAGTTCTTCATCCTTTAGATGCCAGGAATTCCTTCTGATCCTATCTGAAATCCTCTTTGCTGCTGTGTGAACCCCAACACATAAAGTGGGAAGAGCAAAGCAGGCCGAGACTTCAGTTTGGAGGATCTGGAAGGTTCTCATCCCACCACACACCACTTTACATTTCCCAGTGCAATGTGTAAGATTTTCCCATGGAGTGCAGAATTCCAACAAGGCTCTGTTTCACATTTTTTTCCCAAAGTTTGACACGTGTTTAACTTGTGATCCAGCACATCCTCTTTTCCTGCCAGATTGCTGCGAGGGAGATTCCCTCATCCCATCTCTGTGCCACATTAACTCTGTGCTTGTCCTTCCTAAATTATACCCTCTTTTCTCAGCCTACCACTTAAATTTACTGGAATCACCCAGAATTCTCCTGTTCTAAGATCCTCTCAGCTCACCACCCTGTGAGCTCAGTGAATTTATTGTCTGATACATCATCCAAACCAGCAATTAAAACTTTGCGTCATCCCAGAGCCAAGAGGAGCCTTTTAATGGATCGTTCCAGCCTGACAGAAAATTGCTGGTTGTGATCTGCTCGTGATTTCAGCCCGACTGGGTTTTCTTGGTTTTGCTTCTGAGCCCATCACGTGACACCATGCCAAAACCTTAATTAAGGCTGAGCTGTGTGACAGGTACCACTTTTACCCTCACAGATTTTGTTGTCTTGCCACAGGGAGGGATATCACCCTCCTGTCAAAAAATTCTTGTTGATCATCCGTGCCTCACTGATAGCCCCTGCACTGTTGTTTGATGATCTATTTCAGAGCTTTTTTTTCCCAGTCTGGGTTGGCTGCTCTGTGTGCCCCTCGAGAGTGCTCTGTGCTCTTTATAATAAAGGATTATTTCCACATTTCTTCATGGAAGGGTTTTGGATGTGGCACTCAGCACTCTGCTCTGGTTGACAAGGTGAGGATTGGTCACAGGCTGGACTCAATGATCTTGGAGGTCTTTTCCAACCTAAATGAGTCTGTGATTTGTTGATAGCCAGCCTCCCAAAACACCCAGATTTCCCTGTTGCAAAGAATCAGGTGCAGGAGAAACAGGCTGGGTTTGGTAGCTGTGATGGATTTCTTTTCCTGATTTTCCTGGACACCACTTTGGCTGACAGCCCTCACTGATTTGCATATTTATGTCGAAAACACTAATTTTATTCACTTTTGATGTGCTAATTAGTTCATCTCATTAATAACCGTGGCAGCAAAATGGTTCTTGCTCTTGTCTTTGATGTGGTTGTGTCTCCACACCTGTTTTCCCTCTTACTCCACACGTGGAAGCGCAAACACAACTCCTGACTCTGCAAGTGCGGCTCAAAGTTGTGGGACTGGAAAACAAATCCTACACTGGAGCTCCTGGAATCACCTGGAATTCTTCTCCCAGACAACTCAGCCTGGAGAGCACCAGCACCCAAACCTCACACTGGAAAAGGGAAATGGGACTGATTCAATCCATGGGGGAAAAAGGAGATTTAGGCTTTGCCTAAAGCTGAGCCACAGAAGACTTCATCTTCTACCTGCACCTTCCTCCAGCCCAGGGAAGGGAGGAACCAGTGTGGAAAAGGAGCTGTGACCTCATAATCAGCCCATTCCTCACCTCCAGTCAAGAAGGAGAGTTTTAAATTGTCCTTTCTCCTTCTTTATTTGAAAGAGTTCCAACGATTTTCCACTCAGAGGCTCAGCACTGACAAAGTCCATCCAGAATTCCCACCTCCAGATTTACTTTTCCATGACCTTCGGCTCCCACAACTGGGAGCTTTCAGGTCAGGAACTAGAGGTGTGTGGACAAGACAAGTAAATCCTGTTAAACACAATCCCTCCACCTCCAAAGAATCATTTGGGATAATCCGGGTTAATTCAGCTGCTTTGGCATCCAGAAATTTCAGGAAAAGAAAGGGTTCCTCTGAATTTGTAGACAATTCTAGGAAACCACTCTTGACCTTCTGGCACTTAAACTCTGCAGTGAAAGGTGGGGGAAGAGCTGGGAATGAGGGTCTGCAAAACATCTGGATAAGGTTTGTTCTCCCTCCTGAACTGTGTGAATTCTGGTTCCCCACACCCTCACTGGACTTATCTCAACCCTTCCCTTGTTCCTTCCCCTCCAGATGGTCTCTCCCACCAACTTTTTGCTTTCTCATGTCCAGCGAAACTGGTTGAGATATAAATTTCTCCTTCGACTTCCTCTTTCTCCTGCCAACATGACAGGTGGTAAAACAGTAGGAGCTTTGGCTTGGAGCCAAAACTTTCTTGGAGTTTTTTTAAAAGCACCTGAGGGAGAAACTGTGCAGGGAATGGAGGACTTCTCCTGGAGGACTTGCTCCTGGAGGACTTGCTCCTGGAATTTGGATGCAGCACAGCCACCACAGCCCAACCAGTGCCTGCCCTGAGCAGCTGGACATCTCTTCCTTCTTTTTGGTTTAAAAACTTTTTCTTCCCCTTCTCTATCCTAATTTTCCTTCCCTTTTGAGGTTGTCTTTGGTGAGAAAAAATTAACAGCAGGTTCTGCTATTAATTTGGTCTTTTGACATCCGTCATCTCCAGCACAGCTCACCAGTCTGCTCAGGGGGGTGTCAGTGTCCTCTTGTCCCTGCCCACCACTGTGGTGTCATTTCCTTCGATTCCCCTCCATCCATTAAACACAATATTTCAAACCAGTCAGCAGATCCAGAGCTCACAGCACAAAACATGAAGTTGATGTGGGATCTTTCATCCTCCTGGAAAACCAGCAGCTCTGAAATCCAGGCACCATGAAATGCCTCAAAAACCCACATCCTTCCAAATGTGCAACCAAAACCCCGCAGAGCCCCAGGGCAATTGGGCAATTTGCTTTAGAAAAAACAAAGATCTCGTTTAAGCATCAAACACAACAAAAAACCCGGCACCCTTCAATTGTTTGGACCAGCTCTGGTTTCTCCCAGGACACAGCTGAGCTAGGGATGCTGCCAGCTTTTTCCTTTTCTTTTTTTTTTTTTCCTGTGTGTTTTCCAGGAATGGGAGCTTGCAGGAAGGGCTGTGACCCAAGAGGCTCTGAGCTGTTTGTGTGAGTCCCTGGCTGGCTGCCCTTCTTCTTCTCTGTGACACCCCCAAGCCTCCTACAGAGCTTTTCTGTCTCCCCTCAGCTGCAGCTCCCGTGGGGAGAGGAGGGAGCAGAGAGCCTGGAGGGCGAAACCAAACAAAGCTCAACACAATCGATGGTTTCTCTGCCAGGAACGTGGGTCTGTAGAATGCCTCTCGCCATCTCTGAATGACAGGGATTGGCGACAGCTGTGTGAGGTTGTTTTGGCCCTGGAAAAGAAAGAAGGGAATAGATATGGGGATGTCTTTTCCAGCTGGATGAGGGCCATGAGGAGGCAGTGAGAGCAACTCCCAGCTCAGCAGGCTGCCCCCATTCCTTCCCTTCTCCTTCCCACCTCCACTGCCTTTCCTCCCTTTTCTCTAGTGAGAGAAGCTCATTTCAAAATGGGAAGGAAAGAGCCTGAGGAGCCAGAAATTGCTCCCCTCTGAGGCTGGAGAAATGTCCACAACACTGCCAGAAATCAGCTTTACTCCCACCTGCTTGTTTATAAGCAGATGTTTGCTAACCAAACTCACTGTGGACAAATTCACTGATCATCCCCTGTGCTGATACAGCTGTGGAGCCGTTGCCTGTGCTTCAGGCAGGGTGGGATGTTATTCCTCACAGAGCTTTGAAAGTAAGAGACAAAACTACGCCTTCAAGGATCTCCTCAGAGCAAATAATGATTTGAAGCTTGAACATGTCAAAAAGGCCATTTTCTATATGTTTTCTTAGGTGAGCTGGATGTCTGGGGACACTTTGGATTCAAGTAGGCTCAGGAAATCAATGGGAGTTCAGCACCTGACTTACCCAGGCTCTCTCTCGAATCCCAGGGGAAGCTCAACCACAAAACACAAACCTCTGAGAGTGGAAATTATCCCAGAACAACACTTTTATTTCAGCCATCACGGGGAGCTCTTCCAAACCCATCACAATCCATATGCAAAGATGTAAGTGGCGCTGGCCAGGACACCCAGGGACATCACTCCCTGGCTGCTTTGCCTGCTGTTGACTCCATTCACGTTGCACAGGGGTTTCTCACAGCAGGAAACATTCTGGGAGCTTTGGGTTTGTTGCTGACCCATTTCTGGACACATTGGAGAACACATCTTGGAGATGACGTATTTAGGCTTGTTGGGCTCTAGTGCAGGAAAAAAAGGTGGGGGAAAGAAAGAGAAAAAGGAGGATGAAAAATCATTGTTTAAATATTTTCGTGGCTAAATCTGTTCTGGTGAGTAAAGGAAGGCCAGGCTCTAATCCTCAAGGCAAATTTAATGGAATTAATCACAGAATCATGGAATGGTTTGGGTTGGAAGGGACCTTAAGGATCATCCATGGGCAGGGACACCTCCTACCAGAGCAGGTTGCTCAGAGGCCTGTCCAACCTGGCCTTGGACACTTCCAGGGATGGGGCAGACACGGGGTCATAGAATCCTAGAAATGTCAAGGAGAAGGCCTTGGAAAAGGCCTTTAAAATCATCAAGTCCAACCAGGACTTCTCTGGGCTCCATGCTTTTAGGTTTTGCCAGTCCTGACATGGCATTAGCAGCTGTGGCTTTCAGTTCCAGCTGCCTGAAGTGATGCTCAGCTGGTCGTTCCCACCAGGATGGCTTTTCCTACAACATGAAGACAGGGACAATGCTCTGCATGACCTGAGATCTGGGATAGGAGCACGTGGAGGGCTTTGAGGGCACAGAGCCCCCAGGACAGACCTGAAGGATTGTGCTTTGCACAGGGAGTCAGCCACGGTGAGGTTTGGCCGAAACACTTCTCAAAACAGTTCTGGGAGTGAAACTCGCACAGCTCCAGGTGTGAATCCACTCCCTGGTGCTGCTCTGTGTGTCCTCATCATTTCCCCAGTTTCCAGCAGGAATATCAAGTGTGTCTGGACACTGCAGGAGGGAGCCACAAGGTCAGTGTCTCCTAAAAGTTGGTCATCAAGGCCCGTTGTTCCTGTACTGGGATGAAATCCCATTCCTGGGACTGCTCTCCTGCAAAACAAACAAGGTGTTGTTCCCAAACCTACTTGTCCCCACATCCTTCCGGATGGTCACGCAGTGTTTGTCCTCCTTGGCACACATGGAAATGGTCAAACAGTCCTTGTTGGACTCCTGTTCTTGGCAGGTGTAGCACATGAATGGATAAACTGGGGGGAAAAAAAGGGGAAAAAGCACATTACAAGGTTTAAAAACCACAAAAGCTCCAGTGCAGAGATCTCAGTTTCCCTCGTTACAGCCTGAGGAATGTTTTTGTGGGAATGACCGGTGGCTTTCTTTATCTCCTGACCTGTGGCAGCAGCGCTAAATCCCTCTCTGTCTCCTCTGGCTCAGGCTGCGAAGTGTTATCGATCTGTTTGCAATCCCTGGGAGCAGGAGATGTGAGTGGAATTCAAGGGTTTGGGGGCTTTTATGAAGGAGATTATTGCTGAGCCACAGCAGCTCAATCCTGAGGGCTCAGCCACGGGAATTGCCAATTACTGCTCAGGGTTTCTCCTGGGCACGGCTTGGCAGGGAGAATTTAAAGATGCCTGTAGCATTTTGAGGAGGTGGACAATGCCCAGTGTCCTACTTCTCTTTCATCTGGCTCAGAGACTGCTGTCACATCTCTTTTTTTTTTTTTGTGCTTGAACATCACTGAACTGGCCTAACCTCAGTTCTAGGAAGTCTGGTGAGAGTCCTCAGATGCTCTGTCAAACTCCTGTTTTTAGCATAAAATCAGGAATGAATGGAGAATCTTAACCAAAAGCTTGGTTTAAGTGCTCAAGGCAGATTTGGTGAGATAATTCCTACACCTGCAGCAGTGGCAGATGATTGGCAGGAAGGTCACGCAGCGATGAGTTGTGTCTCCTGCCAAGAACGTCTGTGCCTGCCCTCAAAACCAGAATGTGGCGGGTCAGACCTCTGGAAAGTAGTAAAGCAAAGGAAAAAGAGCAAAAACAGAGTCTGGGTGATAAAACCCCCCAAAATATGTGCAGAGCCAGCCTGGCAGATTGAAAGTGGTGGTTGAGTTCAGAGCTCCTGAAATGACCCAGAGCGGAGTGTGGGGCTTTGTGATTGAGTTCCTTTAAAAACAAAGCTAATTTCTGGAAGGAAACAAAGCCAAATGCTGGCTGAGTTCCTGCCAAGTCTGGGTCCAGTGTGTCACTTTGGAAAGGGCAAAAGCAACTAAAGGACACGTCCCTGTGAGCGCACTTTTGCCCGATAAAAAGTTGGCAGTGAGAAAGTGGAAGAACGGCAGAGGTCACTGCATGAAATGAGAAGTTTCTGATAGAAAGGAAGGAAAAAGTCATCAACTGTTGATTCTGTGCAGCTTTTTTTTTTTGCTTCATTCACCTCTACAAGAAGTTGAATTTTCGTATAGAGAGTAGAGGAGATTCAGGGATGTTTTAAGGAATTTTTGGCACAACCTTGAACGATGTTATCCTCGAGCAAGCCCAGGAAACACAAGCTGCTGAAAATTCCAGGGAATGGGTGCAAAGCCAGCCATGAAAACACCCTCAGAGGATAATTCCCAAGGATTATTGATCAAACTAACTGGGGCAATGGAAGGAATTCTTCTCCGTGAGGGTGGTGAGGCCCTGGCACAAGTTTCCCAGAGGAGCTGTGGATGCCCCTGGATCCCTGGAAGTGTCCAGGGCCAGGTTGGATGAGGCTTGGAGCAACCTGGGATAGTGGAAAGTGTCCCTGCAGGAGCTGGAATGAGAAGATCTTGAAGGTCCCTTTCAACCCAAACCATTCCATGGTAAAATCTGTGATTTTAAGTGATTTTGACGGATGGACACAATCAAAGAGTGAAAAGGAAGAGTGGGTGCAATGAAATAAAGAGAAATAAATTACAATAGATAAAACTTAGATGTAGGGCTGGTTTGGTTGCAGTTCAGAACCACAGTGACAGCAGCAGGAGTCAAGAGTGTCAAATTACAGCCATGGAAACACGTGTCAGCCAAGGGGACACAGGGAGAAATGTCATGTGCAAGATACACAGAGTGGCCTTTCCACCCTGGCAAGGCCTCAGCTGGAGCCCCGGTGCCCAAATCTCTCTGGGGCACTTCCAAAACTATGCAGAGCGTTTGGAGAGGGACCAGAGGAGAGGGAGGAGAAAAGGTCAGAAATGTGATGGAAATGTGATCTTGTCAAAAAAAAATGTTGGAAGGGTTTAGCTTGTTTGTTGAAAACGAGAACATGCTGAGGAAAGCCACAGGAATCTTCTTCCTGCAAGAAAAAAAGAAGCAGCAAAGAAGAAAGTAATAAAATATCTTATGTGTCCCGTGGTGGAAATATGGGAGAACAGTACAAAAAAAGATGCTAAGAGATATTAAAACTAAATTCCTAAAGGGATGAAAGTCTCTGAGCAATTCCAGGCTGTGGAATCTTCCCTGTTAGAAACTTTCAGGGACACCTTAAGCAAATATCTGCCTAGTCTTGTCAAACATTGCAGCAAGGACTTGACAATCTTAGAGGTCTTTTCTACCCTTAAATGTGATTCTATGAAAAGGATAAAGACATTTTATGATCTTTTACTGGACACAAAATATCCATAACAGTGGGTTTAGGGATGGAAAAGGCAAAAGACCCTCTTTGGTCAGCTGAGAGATCAAGAGTTTTGACCAAAATTTGGTCATTAGGGTCTTGGCTGAGACCCAGGAGACCTGAGAAGGACCAAATGCCAGTTTCCACATTTTCCTTTGTCCCAGTTTTAGGCCAGAAAGCTGCAATCTCTTATTCTGGATCGAGGCTGGGCCACAGAAAGGTGCTTTTTTACAGAAAGTGTAAAAGTCTGCCCTTAAATCCATTAGGAATCTGCTGCCATTATCAAATGTCGCCAGCAAGGAATCCCACCATGAACCTGTGATCCTGGATCTCTCTGAGCTTTCCAATTTATCCTGGATTTATCAATAACTTATCAATTATTCCACACTGAGAACATTGCCTTTGAAAATTCTCCTCTTCTGTCCATGTTACACTGCTTCAGTCAGGAATTGTGGGCACTAAATCCATTTTTTTTTTTTTTAAGAACTGAATAACCATTTTCCCACACCAAAACTGGCCGAAGGTCCTGCTCTTCCAGGCACGCTGGAGAACCATTCCAAAGGATGTAGGAGTAGGGGGTTGATACATCAGTGATAATTGATTAATTAGATGCCTCTTTCTCAATCAGATTCGTATCGTGGTTTCTGGGAAACCATCAGGTGTGGGGGAAATTTTGGCACTCTGGTCATCATTCCCACATGCCAGGAGCAATGGAGCAATGTGTGTGTCTCACTGCCAGCAGGAGGACAGCACTCAGCCCTCCCTTTGCAAGCGGGATGCCTTTAGCATGAAAAGTTCTTTCACCTCTGCCACTGATTTAATCTACAAAAATTCCCGGTGTTGCATTTTCTAGGAAGGCATGTGGCAAACCACTACAAGGGAGGAAGCAGCAGGACGGAACAATCTCTAAAATACTCAAAAACTGAAATTATCAAGAAAAAGAATCCTGTTTTGTTATGCTTTCTATCATTTCCAGCTTGCCTTCTTTTGGAAGGTGCCAAAGACCACAGTGTGGATTTAACCTGGCATCCAGCACCACCAGAGCTTTAGCACTGGAAAGGAGAATCAATTCATCAGATTCTTATTTCTGCATCAAATCACTGGCTGAGATGCAGAAGGACATCGGTGACGCCATCACAACACTGCAGAGCTGCTGACAGCCCTCTAAAGCTTTCCCACGTGGAAAATTGCCACCATCTTCCCCCTAATCCTTGTCTCGAGCAGGAGCAGCATGAGAGGCTCACCTTGTTCCACACAGAGGGCCACAGCCAGCAAGGTGACAAGAGGAGTCCTCATCTCCAGCAGATCCTCCCAGCAGGACTGGGAAGCCGTTTGGAGGGCAGGTTTTATACCCCAGCCCAAGGGCGGCAGTTTTACAGGTTCCCGACGGCTTTGCGGGAGGACGTGAAATCAACCCCAGGGTGTGGAATGTTCATGTGGGAGTTTTCCACTGCGGAGCCCTTGGAACAGGCTGGCACCTTGGGGAAAAGCCCTTTCAGCCACGCATTTCTTGCTCTTCCGGTCGTGTGAGTGATGGGAAGTCGGGATCTGCTCTCTCCTCCTCTGAATTTCTTCCTCTCCTCCCTTCCAGAGCCACTGCTCTGATGAAAGCAGAGCCCGGAGGTACGGGGAGATTGTCCTAGGAATTAATTTTTCTAGTCCTTTTGCACAGACAGCACGTGACGTTCCAGGGTTTGCACCGTTCATTTGCTTTAATTATTCAACAGCACCAGACTCAGCCTCTGAGCTGGCCCAAGCTGTTTTACCTCAAAATCAGTGTGTTTTACACTAAATTAAATTAGCTAATGGTTGGTTAAACAGAAGATTTTCCTCAAATTTTCATGTCAGTCTTCATTTCTTTATCAATTTTCCTCTGGTTAATCCCTCTGCTTGTTCTTTTTCCTGCCTGTAATCCTCAAATACCTTGTACAATTTTGATTTAATGAAGTTTTTCTGCTATCCAGGGATTCTTTTAGAGGAGCTGCTTTTCTCCACGCCCAACAGTTTCTTGAAATCAGGCCTCCATTTCCAAGCCCACAAATTGGCACCCTGGAATTGCAGCTCTGCTCTGGAAAGAGCAAATCCCTCAAAATGTAATTTTTTTCAATCTCTCTTCTTAAATCAATCCTTTTGCTTTTATTTCTCTGTGTGGCTCCTCTCCTCTGAATTCCTCAAAATCTGTTCCTGACAGTCTGGGATAGAGACCCTCATTCAAGATGCATCTTGTAAGAGCTCAAGCTGCCAAGTCTAAAACAAGATAAGTCCTGGACAGCAGAAAGAAAATATTGTCAAACCCCGCTTTTTCTGGCAATTATGGAATAACTTAACTGGCAATTCCCTGCATGTAGCCATCAGCAGGGTATTTTTGTCTGTTTCTAACATGAATCATTCCAACACTGGATGATTTCCTGATCCATGTGACTGTCTGACACCTTTTTCAGGCCCTCCTGATCTGCTCCCAGAATGACATCATCAGGTGGTGAATTCCAGAGTTGTTCAAGCCCTGGGTCCAAACAAACATTCCCTGGGTTTTGGAGGTTGGTGAGGTCAGCGGGGATGTGGTGATGATCAAATTGAGCCTTGTGCTTCACACAGGATGACCTGGTCCTTTGCCCCAGTGTTTTATAAACAGGTTTTTCTCCCTCATTAGTGGGTGTGGCTCCTTGCTGGTGTTTTGCAGTGAGGGCAAAATAAAAGAACCTTTTTTTTTTTCTTTTTTTTTTTGTCCTATTTATCCCATAGATTTGTATTTATTCCTTTGCCCTTCTATATCCCTGCTCCTGTTGATTTCCATAGAATCATAGACGGTGTTGCTAGGAAGGGACCTTAAAAATTACCCTGGCCCAACCTCATGCCATGGGCAGAGACACCCTCCACAATCCTGGGTTGCTCCAAGCCCTATCCAACCTGGCTTTGTTGACTTTTCCAAGGTCCATTTTATTCTCAAAGGAATCTTCTTGAAATAGGATCAGCACAAGTCAACTCTGACTTTGACTTTTGACTTCTGACTTTTGACTTTGACTTTGACTTTGACTTTGACTTTGACTTTGACTTTGACTTTGACTTTGACTTTGACTTTGACTTTGAAGGAGCAGCGAGGCTAAAACATTCCCAGTACATCCAACAAATATGTACTAACAAGAGAAATTTGGGTGGGAAATGGGATTTTCTATGTTTTCTAGAAGCTGTCTCCAGGACATTAATGTCTTCCTCACTACCGTGGTTCTAAGGTACCGTGGAATGCTGGAACATTCCCTCTTTCCTGGTGCATGGAGAGCATGGAAAAGAGATTTATTTCCCAACAGAGCAGGTTACAAAACTCAAAAGCACTCGGAGGCATCACCCAAGGATCCAGGATGGTGAGGGTGTCTCCTGCAGTGCAGGATCACAGCCTGGAGGAGGGCCTGGAGCAGGACAGGCCTTGGACTTGGGACTCCAAGTGAGGAGTTTGAGATTGAGAAATTGATTGAGGAAGACTGGGGAACAAAAAAAAAAATATCCCCAAAGAAGCTGATTCACCTCTCTGGAGTAATCTTATTATCCATGCAGGAAAATTAAAGTGGATCAAATTGGAGCCATGAGTTGGCTCTGTGACAGGAAAGCAGCAGTCAGCTTTGAAAAATGGGTTGCTTTTGTCCCTTTCCATGGCTTCCAGGAGATTTTTAGACCCAGTGAGGGTGTTGCTTTGATCTCCTGGGTCCCTCCTGTCTCTTGTTTTGGCACTGAGGCACTGTGTTGGATCTGGGCAAATAAACAGGGAAAAGGGGGAGAAATTTCATGTTGTGAGGGAAAAGGCAGGGGAATTATTCAAGGAGAGCAGAAGGCAGCACAGATCCTTCAATACCAATGGTGGGAAAGCCCCGAGAGAGGGAAAAGAAGGACCAAAGTTAAAGTACCTTCTGCAGACGCCTCATTTAGGCAGGGAAAGGCCTCCTTGGCTGATCCAGGTCCTGGTGCAGTGACTCAGAGCTCTGAGAAATGAGTTTTATATAATCCTCAGGGAGAGAGAGGCAGTTACCTCCCAGGATCAATCCCAGCTACTGGAATGAGACTCCCATCTCCTTCCCAAAAGCCCTCCAGGCATCAGACGTCTCTGCTCATGGAGCAACTCAGGGCTCCCATGTGAGGAGTGTGCAGCCATGGGAGGCACCAGAAACACAGGGTGATGGAAGGATTTGGAATTTGGGAGCAGCACCTGCATGGGAGGTGTGAATCAGGATTTCTGAAGTCTGGCAGAGGCTCCTCTTACACAACACTCCAAGGGGAGGGTTCACCATGGGAGCTCTGTGTTTTTAGGACCTCCTGTGCCTCGGGGAAGTTGCTGTTTCCACCTCCAGATAAGGACTTTGGGATGTGGGTCAGCTTTGGAGCACACGGATGCGTTTCATTGGGCACTAGGGAAAAACCTATGGGATCGGGGGGGAAATCAGGCAAGAAGGAGCCACCCATGATGGAGCTGCTCCCTTAGGGATGGCACTTCTGGACTCCCAGAATATGTTTATGTTTATAACTTCTCCATGCAACAGCCATAACTAGGGCATGAAACCCCCCAGGGGTGTCCCATGTGCTTCCATCACCTTTGCCATGCCAGGATCCTTCCCATCCCAAAACCTGTCAAGTTCAGGCAGCCCAAAACACGACCTTAATTTTAAACCTGGCTGCCAAGGGCAGGTCTGGACTCCCAAGCTCAGCAGAACAAGACCTGAGGCCTGTCTTGGCTTCTCCCTTTGCCAGCCATTTGTCCCTAAGGGATCCTAAACCTGTGGATAGCACAGGATGAAGATTATTCCAAATAGTTCAGTTGTCACCATGTTAGGAGTGGAGTGTGGGGTGGAATATGGCCAGCCAAGGTCACAGAATTGTCTTGTTTGGGGTTTTTTGATCCGTGTCACTTGAATATCCCTAAATTTGGCAGGAAGGGACACAGGGTGAGGAGAATAAATCCAGCAGATGGACAGAGCCAGCTCAGCTGGGATAGGCATTAAAATCCATGGGGAGAGTGGAGAGACTCATGGCCAAAATCAAAGTAGCCTTGCCCAATCTTGCATTTACACCTAGGAGGAAACAATGAGCTGAGGCAAGGAAATGGAGTTTGGATGGAAAAACCCAGAGTAAGACTGGAGGAAGAAGCCAACAAGGAAATGTGGAAAGCAACCAGGAAATGCAGGGCTGAGGTTGGACGTGGATGGGAGGAAGGTGAACAGGAAAGGGTGAGAGCAGATCGGGATGAGCTGGAGCCATGAGCCTACATTTCCTCGGCAAAGCTGTTGTAAAGAACAAAGATGTGACTGTTCCCGAGCGTCGTTGTTCCTCTAATCCCAGCAAATGCCTGTCAGAATGAGAAGTACCTGGAGCTGTGCAAGGAGTCTAGGCAGAGAAAACCAGCTGGGTGAGCTGCAGCCAGCTGGTTTCCCTGGGAGATCTTCCTTGGGATGGTCCTTGTGGAGACCTCCTTCATCCCAAGAGAATGCAGTTCAGCCTCCCTGGAAGGGTCGGAGTGAGCAAACCTCTCATTCCTAGGATTATCCACAAGGAAGGTCAGAGCAGGGTAATGAGTCCCTTCAATTTGAACTTGATGAGCAAACATAAAAGATTTATTTGTGATGTTAATATTTTTTCACACGAGTCTGAAAAATTCCAGGTTTCTTTCCAGAAACCATCTGTCTTTTCCTACTATTTTCCTTTAAGCACCATGCAAGATACTCTTCTCCCCTTCCTAAATAAACCTAATGCTTCTAATGGAATTTCCACTGGGAGATCTTAAACCAGTTTAAAGAAAATGCTCCAGATCCCTTCCCGTCAGGCCCTGCCTTGTCCCCTCTCTTTCCTGGAGAGCACAAAAGCTGTTTCCTTCCAGGCAGCTGCCCCAGGAGAGGAATTGAAAGGAAGTTAAATAGAATTCAGTTTATTCCGAAATAGAGTCACAAAGATGCCATTTCTGCCAGTGCAGAAAAATAAAATCTGAGGAGAGGCTTCCTGAAGTGAATGCAAAGTAATTTTAATATATTTCAGCATTATTCCCATTCAATTTGCAGGCGAACGCCTCCACTTTTATCCCATAACATGGATACATCCAGCAACTACGCCCAATGTGCCACACCACACAGCCACACAATAGAATAAAATAACACTTTATTGTGCCCAGTTTCTGTTTAACAACCAGAATATTAAAGGCTTTCTTGGAGCAAAATGATACAGGGTGGAAAATGGGAAGAAAATGGCACAAGAGAATGGCGGGGATAAAATGAAAGGCAAAAAATGCACAGAATTATAAATGCCAGAAGTAGGAGAGACAGTGACCACATGGGGTCATTCTGCACCTGCAGGGCTCCATTTTACCCCTTTCTCTCCCAAACATCATTTTGTGTTGTCATCAGAGCGTGGAAAGAGCAAAAATATCTCCAGATGGGAGGTGACCTTCCAGGTAGGAGGCACAGGGCAGCATTCCCACCTGATGGACCGCAGCTTGAACCATGCCATGCAAAGCCAAGCAGCTCATTTTCTCTGAAAACCCCTCAAAAACCCATCCTGAGGATGCATGCGAGACTGGCCAGGACCCCCAGGGTGAGGATGGTGGAACTGGTTTTCACGCTGCTGGCCCCGCTGATGTTGCACAAGGAGGTCTCGCAGCAGCTGGTGGCGACTCCAGCGATGCCGATGTTCACGTCAATCGATGGGCAAAACGCAGAACATTTCTTGGTGATTCTCTGGCTCCGGTCATTGCCTGGAGTGGGAGGGAGAGAAAACAACAGGAAAAGTTCAGTTTTTCATCTTGGATGGGTTTTTTTTTTTCCCCCAGGTTTCCATCATAGCCTTCCATCCATGGGGAATCTGTTATTCTGCACTCGATGCCATTGGGTTTCCCCTCGGGTTTCACCACATCATTGTTTGTGTATGTGTGACCTATGGACACCATCTCCAGGCCTTACAAATGCTTTGCCGGTTTCAGGGCCAGCTGAGGGCAAGAATTTGGGACTCATTTGTACAGTGTGAGATTGCAAAACATTGTCACGGTGCCTTGGGATTGCTCCTTCCACAGCACCCGGCCCTTCCCATTTCTACCACCTCATGGGCATAAACTTGAGCTTGGAATTGAGACAAGCACTTTGTGCAGGGATAATAAGAAGAATTATTTTTATTCCATCATCTCTCTGCCCTGAGAGTGGTTAATCATCAGTATTTAATTTGAATTGAGTTCAATCAGAAGTATTTTTATGATATGTTGCAACAGACCCAGGCTATGCTGAGTTCCCACCTTCCCAAGATTTGTTCTCTGCGTGCTAAAATCCTCATTAATTCCTCCATTGTACCTCCTGGTGGGGTGAGGATGAGCTGTCAGCCCCACCTGAGCCCCACCTTGTCCTCAGAGCCTTGGGAAAGCTCCACACTCACCAATTCCAGTGGTAGAATAGGATGTCAGACAATACTTCTCGTTATCTGAGCATTTGGTGGTGCCAAGACAGTGGATGTTGGAAGTTGCATCTTTGCACGAGAAGCAGGTCAGGGAGAAAGCTGCAAAAGAAGCACAAAAACATCCATCAGGCACCTCTGGGAATATCCTTAGGAGCACAAAACTGGGGATGGATGGATGGATGGATGGAGGATCTATCAAGCCCAGTGGCCACAGGCAGAAAATTCCTGCCCCCAAGGACTCTCCAGTAGCCAGATTAAGCTCAAATTGCTGCCACAGCAGTGGTTTGCTCATTTAGGAACCCTCAGAGATCTTCCCTCTGGATATTTGGTTGACTCTTCCTTGAATCCATTGAAACATCTGGCATCTTCAGTGTCCTTGGGAAGAACAGCCCAGTGTCCCACTGCTTGTAGTGTGAAGCTCTCAGGTTTTCTTTCCAACCTGGCCCCTCCAAGCCTCAGTTTCTGTCCATTGGTTCTTGTCTGGAGACACTGGACCAGGGACTCTGTGGCTGGCTCATCCCTGGAAGTGTTCAAGGCCAGGCTGGACGAGGCTTGGAGCAACCTGAGATGGCAGAAGGTGTCCCTACCCATGGCAGGGGGCTGGAATGAGATGGTTTTTAAGATCCCTTCCAACCCAAACCTTTCTATGATCTAGGCTGATTTTCCGAGCTCTCCTGTGCCAGGAGGAAAATCTTGGATCTGTAGAAGTCCGGGCTCAGCAAATCCCTGCCTTGTCTGCAGCAGATTCCTTTTTCCAGCCATCCGTGGGTAACAACTTCCTTGCTCCACAAAACGTGCACATCTGGAACACTCTGCATCTGCAAAGCGCTTTGCTAAAATCACTGAATGAGAACAGCTGGCACTCGATGAGGCTGAAGCATCATTGAGAGCAAAGAGATCCTTGGGGAAGGATTCTTTGCATGATAAGGGGAATTTCCTCCTCATCTGTTTATCTGGCTGCAATGTCACCCTCCAGGGATTAAACTCATCCTCATTTCCAGAATATCCCTGGCTACTGGCAGTTAATGCCCAGCTAATTCCTGCAGCAGCTTTGTCCTTTAGCTTTGCCTTCCTTGCTCTTCATCTTCCCCACTCCTCTCCCTTGCTCAGGTTTCTTTGTGCCTTTGTCAGCAGTGTCCCAACCTTGCCACTGCCCTTGTTTGACCTTGGACAAGTTCAGACAGGCTCTTTAAGTGTCCTGCTAGCCCAGATCCGGCTCCAGCTCAGTCCATGACCTCAGGATCACCTTTTTGGTCTCTATTCTTCTTCTCCCTGTGTGGAAACTGTCTTCTTCTCCCACTCCAGCCATCATCCCCTTCTTTCCCATGGCCTTTCCTCTTGTGGTCCACAGCCCTCACATTCCCTGCTCTTCCTCTCTTGTCCCTCACTGACAGAGGCCATCAGACAACTCAGATCCCACCTCCCACCATTCCCATGGTCACTCCAAAAGCCTCGGATGTGGCTCTCTTTGACTTCATATCCCAACTTTTTCAATTTGCTTCCTGTCATAGTCATTCCCATCTCCAGAACCTCCATTTGTCCTACCTGGCTCTTGTCTTCCATATTCTCCTGACCTTTCAAGCTCAAATTTATTTTTTCAAGCCTGGGACCCTCCTTTAGATCATCCCTGTCCAAGGTGTTTGGCTTCATTCTCTTTTCTCATGCAAAATTTGATTATATGGAATATAATATGGAATATTTCAGCTCCACCTCACTGGGAACCACCCTTTCCTCTCAGAAAGAGAGAAACACTCAGTCTCCAAACTGGATTTTCCAGACACAGAGCTCACTTTAATCCTTAGTAAATGCAGCATCTTTAATCCAAGCCCATTCCCAGAAAAACTTCCTGGATCAGTGCAGGAAACAGTGGGGCTGGTTACATGCCCAAATCCTGCTTCATGCCAACCTCCCAAAGCTCCTAATTTCAGACTCCAGTTGCCCTGGGAGTCTCCTTGGCAGGAGAAGGGGGAAGCAGCATCCAAGGAAGAATTTTTCAACCTCTCTCTGTGCTCCAGAGATGTCTGACTCACCAATTAATCCAGGACTTTGGGACTGGCTTCTAAACTGGCACACCCTGAAGTCAGGGAGGACAATTTTGGTCAAGCTACAGAAAAACACTTTAATTTTATTTCATTTCTTGAGGTTGCAACGAGGGTTGAGAAGGGAAGGGAATTTTATTTCTTCCAGATGCAAACCTTGAGTTAATCAAGTCTGCCTTTGGATGTCTCCACACCCACCAAGACCTCTGTTCTAACTGAAGAGAAGAATTCCTCAAGGAATTTGCTCTCTCATTCCTTGATCCCTCAAAAAAAAAAAAATGGGAGTAAAGCTGCAGGAAAAGATCCTTTTGTTTGCCTTGACATTCTCAGCTTGAGCACAATTCCAAGTTTCAAGCCTGTGAAATCGATCAACAGGAATATTTCCATCCTCAAATTAAGTGGGAGACAAAGAGGTCTGTTAGTCCAGGACCAGAATGGCCAGGAATTTGCAGGTGAAATCCTACAGGGAAAAATTCAGTTTGCAAACAGGCAAAGAACTCCCGAGCTGAGGAAATCAACCTTTCCCCTAAAACAGAGGGATATTCCAGGCTGCACCTTCTGTTCCCTGCCTGTCCCAGAGCACAAGGCATGGTCCTTGGCAGAGTCCAACCAGGAAAAATGAGGTGCAGCTTCCCAGGGCTCTCCCAAAAAATCCCCCAGACAATTATCAGAATGAGAATGGGACTCTGCATCTCAATCCCAAAGCATCAGCTGGGAATCATGGAATCAAGGCTGGAAAAGACCTCCAAGATCATCGAGTCCAGGTTTACCACTAAACCCCGGCTCTGAGCACCACATCCACTTATTTTCTGAGCACTTCCATGGATGTGATCCCACCGTTTCCCTGGGCAGCTTGGATGCTCAACCACCATGATGCAGTTTTTTTCCTAATAGATGAAACTCCACGATCTTAGAGGTCTTTTCCAACCTTAGGGATTCTGTGATCAGCAAAGTTGCTTCTGGAAGCAATAAGGAAGAGCTGGGAGCCAGAATTGCATCTTCTTGTGGCTCAACCACCTCTGTCAATTTAGGAAATGATGGTATGAGGTTCAACCAATTTAAAAATAAAATAAAAAGAAATCAGGCTTTAGTGTCAATTCCAGAGATTTGTCCCGTTCCTGCCCTGAATATCCCTCATGGATATCCCTGTTCCCATGGAGCTGCCCTGAGGGCTCTCAGATCCCACTGAGCCATTCCAGAGGCTGGGCTGGGTCTGCAGGAATCATCTGAGGTGGGAATCTCACCCCCCACCCCTCATCATCATCCCTCCAGCTTCTGGTGGGCTTAAACCCCCTGTCCCCTTCTCCTGGAATAACTCCTTCATCACCCTTCAGCTTCGCCATCCACACTGAAAAATCCTGGAATACCAAAGGATGCCCGAGTTTTGGGAGGGTTCCGTGCAAAGCGATCCTTTCGGGACTCACCACTTTCCGTGCACAGGGTGATGCCGAGCAGGACCAGGAGGAAAAGCTTCATCCTTTAGAGATCTGTGAACCTCCAAAATAAGCAGGGCTTGGGCAGGGCAGGTTTTATACCTCTGCAGTGTCTGCTTTGATCCAGAAATAATAACCAGAGGCTGGTGTGCCAGATGATGGATACCTGGGAGCAGCGTGTCGGGGCTTGTCTGGAGAAGGGCGTTTTGTTGGAAATCTGGAAGGGGGTGTGTTTTCCCCCACAACTTCTCCTTTTCCTGGTTGTTTCACAACGCAGCTGCTTCCAGCTGACGTGAACTCTGCAACTGTTTCTAATTCTGGAGAAGTGGGGGAAAAGCAAAACATGAAAACAAAGCAATTTTCCCTGCAAAAGAGTAAGGTTTTCCTTTCCAGGGCTCAGAGCGGGCTGCATCCTCCAAGATCGTGTCCTTGCACACATGGAAATGGAGGGAATTTAAAGTTAAAAAATTGAATTTGGGATGGAAACTTCTCCCAAATGTCTCCCAGGATTGTCAAGACAGTGAGATCAGAAGAGCAGAATCCTTTCACTGCTTTTCAGAGGGGACTATGCATCATTTTCTGTCTCCTTTTTAAGTTCAAAATCAGGAATATTTCTGGGATATTTTTTATGAGGAGAAAATGTTATCTTATTAGAAAATAAATTCCACAGAGCAAAGAAAAATGACCATTTAAGTTAAAATATAGAAATAACACCCACTGCCATGGCATGGAACAAGCTGGGAATTTTTTCACAAATTCACAAATTCACAAAAAAAGTGTCAGGGAGAAAAAACAAACCACTTAAAGCATGGAGAAGGAGGGGTTGGCTGATCAATGATCTCAACTCATTAAGTCTTTAGAAAAAGAAAATTTGTGAAATGCCAAACAGGACTATTCCATCGGATTCCCAGATTGTGCTCTTTATTCCTCCATTTTTTTTCCCCTTTAAATCACGTTTCATCCAATTTCCCTGAACAAAATCAGAACCCTCCCCATCTTCTTGGGGCTTGTTGTTGTTTTTTCCCTCCCACTGTTGCCTTTCTGCCATCAAGTCGCAGGAGCAGAGGCACAATCCCAGGAAAGATCCAGCTGGATCCTCCCACGTGATCCTCAGAGCTGCAGGAGCTGCCCCAAAGCCTCTGCCGGCGCCTCTGCCCCTTGCTGCTCTCCATCTGCTCTATTCCCTTTTTCCTCCTCTCCAACTCGCTCAGATTCCCATCTCCCGTGGAATATTTTGGGCTTCCGACATGACCCACCTCCAGCCGCCCTCTCACCGGGAAAACACGCCGGGTTCCTAAGGTGATGTCAGTTTTTCCAACACTTCCAAACCGGACTTTATAAAAATTGTCCCTCTGGAGCGCTGCATGAGTAAGGTGAGGAAATTCTGGCTTTCCCAATAGGCAGAGCATGAAACTCAGTTGGAGCAGAGGTGGCAATTACCCAGAAAATCTCCGAGGAGGGGCAAGGCTTGGCTCCGTCGGCCTCCTCAAGGCAGCCGGCAGGAGGAAAACAAAGCTCCCTCCACATCAGTGCAAAATATTGTGAAATGCTTTATTTTTCCAAAGCCAGAATAGACTTAATGAGTTTCTAGTGGTAAATCCATGTTTATTGGGGCCTATCCTGAGGGCTCCAATCCCAAGGAGATGCCGTTCCGTTCCAGAGCCAGCCCACGTTGGGATTTATCTCCAACAGCATCCCCTGACAGGTTCAGAAATAGCAGCTCAGGCACTGCTTCTTTTTTGCCTTCCCTCAAAAATCTCATCCATGTCAAACCCAAAAATATCTCCTGCCTCCTGCAAGCTGCTGAGATTTGGAGAAGGACAGAATGGAATTCTTAAAGGCTTTATTGCAGGATTCCTGACAGATTTTCCATGAGATGCTCCCGGAGTCTTCCAGCTGGTCCATATGGCCCTCCCTCTGATATTTTGTCCCCACCAGGGCCAGGTGACAGAATGAAAGGAGCCCATGAGGGCAGGAAGGACACAAAGGACACGAGAAGAACCGAGGCAAAGGAGAATATAAAACCCAGTTGACCAGAATTTGGGATTCCTGAAATTCAGGATGGTTTTGTAAAGAGTAACAGGGGATTTAACTGGAGATAAAAGTGGAAGGTGAGGTGGAAAGATGTCCCTTGACACAGTGGAGTGGAGAAGGAAAGGAGGAGAATGCTTTGCTTATCTTGTTCTAAACCTGGTTGAAATCGTCACGTAAGAAGGGCAAACAATTGTTTATTTTGGGGGGAAAATGAAACTTTCATCAAACAAGTGCTGAAATGCAAAAGTAACTGTGAAATTCAGATGTTGCTACTAAATGTGGAACTTAAAGTTGGCCGAAAGCATCGAGAAGCATCTCAGAAATGATTGTGATTAACATAAAGTGATGGGAAAAGTGATTTTAAAAAAGTGCAAAGCCCCAAGTTTCTGGGTAAACATTCCCCTCAGAAATTCTGCAACACTTTCACTTCAGTTATCCCATGGAAATGAATTCCAGAACTCCTTTCCTGACCAGAAATTAAATCTTTATAGGATGACTAAACCTAATCCCATCTTTACAACCTTCACCCAGCACTGCGGTTTCTCCCCTTTGCACGGAAACATGTGGAATTTGCAGTGCTGGTGGAGTAGGATTCCCCTCAAATCCAGCACAGGATTGCCCTCAAATCCAGCACAAGATTCTCCTCAAATCCAGCACAAGATTCTCCTCAAATCCAGTGCAGGAATCCCCTCAAATGCAGCACAAGATTCTCCTCAAATCCAGCACCAGATTGCCCACAAATAAAACAATCCTGGAAGCCTTTTTTCCAGATGCCGCTATAAAGACCCTCCCAAAATTCAATGCTGCACTTTTCCACGCTCTCCAGCTCCAAGACTATTTTATTTGCCTGTTTTAGCTATAGTCCTACTCCTCCAAGAGCTGGAGGGGATCTCTATCCCATCCCCACCATCCCTAAGCCTGGAAATGCAGCAGGAACCCTGGGAAGGGATGGAGCAGAGACCTCCCTGATCAGCTCAGAGACCTTCACCTCTCCCAGGCTCTTCCTGCCTGTTTCCCACAGGAAAATCAGGAGCAAGCAGCATCCCCAAGCAGTCATGAGGGTCTCCTTTCCACGAGGACAGATTCCAGAAGCCTTTTCCTTACCTTGAGCATCTCCAGCATCTTGGGGTGGGACCTTTACCTGTTTTAAAAGCTGGAACAACCCACCTTGCAGAGGTCCTGGGAGAACTTCCCAGTGCAAATTCCTGCAGGACCAAATTTCTGGTCCTGTCTCAGCATTTACAAAACAGTTCCTGCTGTTGTCTGTGATGGGAGCAACACAAACATCTCTGACCTTTCCAGACTGACACCATTCCTTACCTCAGAGGGATCTGGGACACCATCTGGCTCTGAGGAGTGTCTGGAGCTGCTGGATGGAAGGAAGCTAGGAAAAGCAGCCTGGAGAAGATTCCCAAGTGCTAAAAAGAGGAATTCAATGAGAAGCAGAGCTGATTTCTCAGGCTGGTCCTGGTGTGGATACAACAAACACACTCTAGAATAACACAAATCTTTATTTTGCCTGACAATTATCACACACGTGCTATCAAAAGAGCTTTTCCAGGGAAAAATTAGTATAAAACAACAGGGGGGAAAATAGGAGCTACACTGCCGTATCATGTTGGGATCTGAGGCAATGTCTTGGAATCAAACAGGGTCACCGTTGGAAACACTCAGGCGAGGTTCCTCACTTGGGGAACGCCTTGTGGCTTCTCGGGTGGTCACATCTCCTGCCACCCCCGATCACAATCCCACCCTGAGCACACAGATCAGGCTGCCCACGATTCCCAGCAGGATCACAGCGTAGTTGATCCTGATGCTGTTGGCGCCGCTGAAGTTGCACAGGGAGGTGCTGCAGCATTTGGAGGAAAAAGCGGCGATCCCGAAGTTCACGTTGGTCTCCGGGCAGTCCACGGAGCACTTCTTGGTGATGCGGTATCCCGTGTCCTTGCCTGGGTGGGGAAGGGGTAAGAAAGGAGAGCTGGGATTTAGGATTCTATTGGAAGAGCTGAGCAGAGGAGAAGGATTTGCAATTTTCTTAGTTTTCCATGCAGCAATAAAAGCTCTCAGAGGGTTTGACAGGGTGTGAATCCTGGGTCAAATGTGGGACACTGGAAAATCCTTGATTGAAACCCACACCGGCCTAAATCTCCGATCTGGTTGCCCAGGTGGTGGCCAGTCAAAGGCTGACCTCAAGATCTGGGAGGTCTTTCCCAGCATAAATGATTCTGTGGTTCCTGTAGGACAGCAATTCCAATGCATTCCCAGCTTTTAAACCCGTGTTATTGGCACCCTCCATCCCAAAACATCTCAGATCAAACAGCAGAGGCTGCTCCTGAAATCTGGGTGTTCCAGCCAGCCCTTCCACAAGGTGGTGAGGCCCTAGCACAGGTTTTCCAGAGAAACTGTGGCTGCCCCATCCCTGGAAGTGTCAAAGGCCAGGTTGGAGCAACCTGGGATAGTGGGAGGTGTCCCTGGAACGAGATGATCCTGAAGGTCCCTTCTAACTCAAAGCACCACTGAAGGATTCGCACACAGCACATTGAGACACTTGAACCTCAAAATCCTCACTTCTTCCCAACAAAACCATCAATTCCCTAAAAAAAAAGTTGCCCACCAAGGTCTGTAGAAGAAAAAAAACCAATCCCAGTTCCTGGGACTCACCAAGTCCGGCTCTGCTGTAGGTGGTCACGCAGTATTTCTCATGGTCCTCACACTTGTAGGTTTTCATGCAGTTCCAGTTGGAATGTTCGTTGTCACAGGTGTAGCAAAACAGGGAGGAAGCTGGAAAAAAACACCCATGACACGGATTAGTGATTCCCAGCAAATCCCTCCTGGGAAAAACAAAGTGCCAAAAGCCCTGGGAGGTACAAGGGGAAAAAATCTGCTGTGGACAGCTTTTCGCAGCAAGTGAAATAAGTTTGGGTTTGATTAATGCGGCTTAGAAAACAAATGTAGAGAGCAAGCCAAGTTTTCTTTCTGGAATTGAGATTTTAAGGGGTTAAATTCACATTTTTCAGCCTGAGCAGCATTTTCAGGTGATTTTTTTTCCTTCTCCCCAGGATCCACGTTAGCCTTGTTGAAAACCAACCTCCAAAAGCAAAGTCCTGGCAAGGAGAGGAGGAACCAGCCCAATTCCAGATATCAATTTTAAACATTTTCACCTTACATCTACAAAACCCTGTCCAGACATGAATTAATTAATGACTAATGACACTCCTGGGAGCCAAATTACTGAGGCACCACAGTAAAGGGAGTTCCCTGGGAGAGGCTGCTGCCCTGGACAATGGATGGATTATTCCTATCAGCACCTGGAAAAGGTGTTCTCCGTGATATTTCTTCAGCAGTGCTGAGCCAGGTCTATCCCAGAGCCGGGAAAAAATTGGGATATTATTGGGCACAACTAAAGTAAATTGAGTCAAACTTCCAGTCTAGCCATTAGAACACAGATGTACTTTTTCATTCCCCAGAGGTGAATTCAGAATTGGGTGAAATTGTTTCCCTCCTGCCCAAAATTCCAAGAAATGCTCCTCATTTTGGGGCAGGGGTGACAGAGGCAGCTGGGCTGCTCTCAGGAAATCCTGCTCCATTGTCACCAGCGGTGAAGAGCTCTTGGCTGAAGGTGAACAAAAATTACGAACCAATGAGGGGTCTCCACAAGGCTGAGATTTCCCTGGTTCTGCTTTCCATGACTTTCTCAGCCCAGGAAGTCTCCTTTTTTTCACAGAACACCCCTTCCAATCAAACTTGGACTTGTTTTCAGCGAGGAAATGCCTCCCAGTGACCCTTCGAAGTCTGCTCTTGATTCAAGCTCTCATCTGCCCATGACATTTGGTTAAGCAATTCCAGAAACAGTTTCAAAAGAGAACTGAATGCCCTTTTCATTTCTAACTACCCCAAGGAGGAGAAAAAAAATCCTCTCTGTGATCTGGGGAGCTCTGGGTGTCTCAGCACAGGACTGGCTTGCTCTGAAACCTTCCCAGATGCTTCAAGGAAAGTTGGACAGTTTGGAACAACCTGGGACAGTGGAAGGTGTCCCTGCCTGTGGCAGGTGATGGAACAGGATGATCTTTAAGGTCCTTTCCAATCCAGACCATTTTATCATTTGCTGATTCTCTGCTCTTTTCCAGTGCCAGGTGTTGCAAGCTCAGGGGTTCCCTGTAGCAGGATGCAAAATCAGCCTTTTTGCAAACTGGATTTAAGTTCTCCTTTTCATCTCTCACTATTTCCCCATCACTTGGGAGTTTTCAGCCTCCCACCTCTCCTCTGGAGGTTCCCCAACCCGAGCTGGGGGCTCCTGTCCCTTTGCAGGCAAAGCAAAACCCAGTCCTGGTGAGGATTATTGCACTTTACAGACCCTGGAGCTCTCCCTGATCTGCTTCCCTGCCAAATTTCCCAAACCACTTCCTGCTGAAGATGGAGCAGAGAGCCGCCGAAAGCCCTGATGTTCCCTAAGTGATCCGAGGAAAATCCCTTCCAGCCAGGAAACAATAACAGCTCGAGCCATTAGGGCTGCTCTAAAGCCTTTCCTGCGTCTGCCCTCCACCCTCCATTAGCTGGAGTTTTGCAAATGCGGCCAGAAATGGCTTTAGGGGTGCAAATTGTGCTCCTCGAGCTGGCAAATCCATGCCCAGAGACAAGATTTCCCAACTGGATATTCCCCCACAATTAACCAGGTATGGCTGCACCTCCTTCTAAAGAGGACGAGAGCAGTGCCTTGTGCATCCCGTTCCAATCACACTCCCAGGCACTTAACAGCTCTTCCAATTTAGGAGCAAAGAGCTCTGAGGCTTTCAAATATCTGCCAGCAGCCCCGTTACTTAATTGGAATTGTGGGGAATAAAGTGAAATGCTGGCAGGAGATGTGGTGGCGAGACCGACCGTGCTTTTGTCCACAACAGCTCCTCGAGTTTCATTCAGGAGCAAAAATCAAACCAAAGGCAAAAACTCTGAGCCCTGCTTGATTACTGTCAGCATTTTTCAGGTCGTGTCCTCAGCTGTGAGTGGCTGGAGCTGGATATCTGAGGGTGTGAGAAACCAGAATTCGTCTCCTCTGGGTTACAGAGAACCCACCTAGGAGTGAGGACTCAACCACACCAAATATTTCTCGCCGTGGCTGACGCCAAAAATGCCCCACCAAGACCTCAGCAGCTGCAACAAAAGCTGCCAAACCCTCTTGTCCCTCATTTATTCTCCTTGTTTTTCCTCACCATCCTCTCCTCCGGCTCTCCCAGCCTGCTGAGCTCCTTACCTTGCTGGGCACACAGGACTGCAGCCAGCAGGGCCACCAGAAGAGCCTTCATGGTTGGTCCTCGTGCCCTCGGAGCCGGAGCAGTGTGGAAATATGCATCCCAGGAAGGTTTTATACCGGCACTGCCTCGTCTCTGGCTTCCTTTGATTGCAATAATTTGAGGTTTGGGCAGTGCCAGAAGCCGAGATGTGATCAGTGCTGGGTGTGTTTGTGCGTAGGAACCTATTATGAGGCTGTAGATAGCGATGTTTTTTTACCTCTCCATCTTATCCAATCTTTTTTTCCGAGGCCTGCTCCCATCTGCATTGCTAATTTGGGGAGTAATTTAGCTGATCCAAACACAGGAGTCCCTTCTTGGGCTGAGCCGCCAAACCTGGAACGAGCCAGAGGCAGCTGGGTGACTCCTTGCTTGCTGTCACCCTGCATCCTTTCTCTCTGCCATGGAATGGGAATTAATATCTCTGGGAGGTGGGAGAGGAGGCAAGGAAAGGTTTTTGGGTTGTCCAGAGCCATTCAGAATTACCTCACTTGTACAAGAGGCTTTAAGCAGGAAGCATTTCTTCAATCATGGAATCATAGAAAGGTTTGGGCTGAAAGGGACCTTAAAGATCCTCTTGTTCCACCCCTGTTCCCACTCTTTCTGCCTGGAGATGTCACTCAGAGGCTCCAATAGTCCAGGCAGGGATGGGGTTTGATGCATTTTGTTTTGTTCTTTTCAGAGTTTCCATGTGACAATGTTTGTTGCTCCCTGGAGACCGACTCCGGACGCTGTCAGGTTTTTCCAGTCCCCCATGACCTTTCCAGTCTTTCTGGGCTCCCTCCTTCTGCTCCCACAACACCTCTTGAGTCAGGGTGCAGAAGAGCCAAATGACTCAGAGTGCAGGAGAGGCACAAAGTGCACACAGACACCTGCAGGAGTTAAAAATCTACAAATGGGAGCGAAAATGACTGAGAAATAAAAGAAATCCTGGTCAAAAAGTCTTGGCAGGACCCTTTGGAGAGAAAAATGACCAAGGGGAGCTCAGGGTCAAGGTTTGTAAGGTCACAGATGCTGTGGAAACAGAAGGAAGAACATCTAGGTGCTCTTTGTTTTCCCCAAATTAATCAATGAATCATGGGATACCTTGAATTGGGAGGGACCCAAAAAGATCAGCGAGGGCAACTCCTGCCCTGCTCAGGACAACCAAAAAAAAAATCCCACTGAGGGCTTTTTCTAAGCTCTTCTGGAGCTCTGACAGTCTTGCAACTGTGATCAATTCCCTGAGGAATCTGGGAAGTCTCTTCATAGTCTCTTCCTCTGCCCACCTGCCCGCCAAATCCTGGGAAGCTGGACCCATTCCCAACCCCTGTCATGAGTTTTTTGCTTCCAAACATTTTTTCCTTTGCCCAATTCCTCCTTTTTTCGCAGCAGCAGCTTCAACACTCAGTGATCCTGTCTCGGTGTCCAGCAGGTAGAGGGGATGAGACCCCAGTTTTCCAAGTTTTGCGTTCTGTTCTCTGGTCTGACCTTGAGCAAGAATTTTGAACTATTTCATCCTTTAGGCAGGATGTGAAAGGCCCACGTGACAGATAATGCAGCAACAATATTTCAGAAATAATCTGGGGGAAAAAAAACATTCTCTCTGAGCAAGATTCCTTATAAATACAGGCATGAAAAACACCAGGCAGGAAACGGGATCTGCTGGAGCAGGGAGGGAAAAAAACAGGTATTAATCCACATGCTTGTTTAATGTATAAAACCAGGGTTGTCTCAGGCAGCTGGAAAAATGGAAAATGAGACTTCCTTCCCTTCCATCCCATCAAAAAAATCCCCAAATGAAAATGAATTATCACCCCAAATCCAGCTCATCTCAGAGCCAATCGAGCAGAAAAATGCATCTCCTCAGCGGGAAGAGGGAAAAAGGCTTGAACACAGCCCACGAGAAGAAAGAAGAAAAGCTTTGGAATTAAAACAAATAAATGAGCAGTAAATAAATGAGGCTGTTAAAGCAAAGTGCAGCTGAATAGAAAAAATGCCAAGTGAGAAATGGGCTGTGGGAAGTGGGAATGTGAGAAAGCTTTTAAATAGATTAGAGAGAGGGGAGGTTAATAATAATAATAATAATAAACAAGATTAATATTTCAGACAGAAGCGGAAAGAGAGAAGGAGGGAGCGGAGAAATATTGGTGCAAAGCAAAGTAATTCAAGGCAAACACACAAAGCTTGGGGGAAAATAATTAAGGACAGGGAGAGTGAGGTAAAGGAATAAGATGGGATGGGAGGGAAGTCCCTCCTGTGTGTAAAATGTGTATTTTCTTAGGTGCAGACCCTGTTCAGGTGCTAAAATCAGCCCTTCAAGGGTCTGGGAAGCTGCAGGATTCCCCAAATCCTAGTTTAACAAACCACTGGGGGCTCCTGTGTGACCTGGGTGGACCTGACCCCTCTCCCTGTGCCCCTGAAGGAGGCTGCCAAGGCTTTGGGAGGCATCCCAGGCTCTGGCCAGGTCCCAGATCCCTGCTATTCTTGGTCCCTGTTGGCATTGCAGTCACGCCCAGGGCCACTGCAAGGGCTCTGGGCTCCAACCAGCAGCCCAGCACTGAAGGGAACGGTGCCTTTGGAAGCAGAATCCATTTATTTCCAAGCAAGGGGTGAAGAGAGCTGGAAGAAAATCAAGGGCAAAGAGAACTGAGGGAGTGGGAGTGCAGATGGAGAACGCAGCAGGGAGGTGTTAAAACCATCTCCCAGGGACAGGAGGAAAGCAGGGTGAGGGGAGGGCAGCAGGGTGAGCCTTGCAGCAGAAACTGGGCCAGGTGGGTGTCACCCAGTGGGTGTCACCAAGGGGATTCAACAGTTAACAGGGCCTGGAAGTTTTAGGAAAAAGAAACCTTCAACAACTTGGGGCTTGGCAGCCACAGAGGGTGTTTGTGCCAGACTTTGGGAATGCCTTTTGCAAGGCCAGGCCTTTTTGTGTAACTGGAGTCAAAGCATGGTTTCAACCCAGGATGGAGGGGTGGGATGGAGCCAAATCCAGGGATGTTTTAATGTCAATGCTTCCCGCTTTCTCCCCTTTTTTTTCTCTGGAGGGTGGCTCCAACCTCAGCTCCCCTCAATGGTGAAGGGAGGAATCTCTCTTTCAGCTCAGGCTTGTGAAGTGCAGCCCCAAAAAGGAAAGGAGAGGCCATGGGTAAGGTGGGAAGGACATGGATGGTGCTCCCCGCATCCCTGAGTCACGCAGATGGTGCAAGAGGTCCAACCTGATTCCAGACAACACCAAGCTGATCTGGTTTTGTCCTCTCTTCCTTCCTTGGAGGGTCAGGGAAGGCTGGGTTGCTTCATCTGGACCTGCAATGGCAACAGGGTCTGGTGAAGAAGCACAAGTGTGAAGATTGTGGGATTCAGAAACACGTGGAAAAAAGGAAAAGCCAAGTGTGGCATTTTGCCTTAGGCCTGTTGCAGGCAGCCCGCTCTATCCCTCCCTATCCCAAAGCACATCTGGCACAGCTGTTCTGGCAGGCTCCAAACAACAGGACACAGATCCTCAGGTCATTCCCATGGCAGATGACAGAGGCTGCCAAACTCACAGCTGCGAAGGACAGGAGTAGCCCAAATCCACTGTGTGTGGATGAAATAACAGGTGATCAAGGTTGGCTTCAAGGCCAGGTTGGAGGGAGCTTGGAGCACCATGAGGTAGGAGGAGACATCCCTGCCCACAGCAGCAGTTGGAATGAGATGATCTTGAAGATCCCTTCCAAACCAAACCATGATTCTGTGACGCCCAACTCCACAGCTGTGATGGTCACCAGGAGCCTTCTTGTTGATCTCAAGAGCTGAGGAACTCGAGTGCTTTGGGCCTGCAGCCAACAGGGAACCGAAGCCACTTCATCACATTCCCTCAGTCTCCAAGATCCTAAGGGATATTTCAGCCCCATCAGCTTGGAGCGACATCAAACAGCGCCATCACGCTCGGAGTCAAACCTCCATGACTCACACCCCCAGAAAAATCCTGATGGAAAGGCCAGATCCAGATTCTGTCATCAAACAGGGCACCAGCCCGGCCCCAACGCCGACCAAGCCATCAGGCCACCAACACGGCTTGGGCACACCCCAGCCTGGACGGTGCCCTGGCATGGGGCTGCTCCTTGGAAGGCACTTGGATGTAACCACCCTGTTTGTGGAGGAAAGGGAGTTATGGATGTGAATCATCCTCCTTGGAGCCAGGACCAAGGTTTGTTGTTTGGTGGTGGCATCTCCACAGCCAGGAATGGGAATGCTGGAGATCTGCAGGGTCTGAGGGGGGAAGGGCAATGATGAGGATGGTTGGGAATAGGAAGAAAAGAAAAGAGAGGGAAAAAAAAATCCAGCTTCCTCTTGGAATTTCCCAAACATAATTAATTCTGGTGCTGCAACCGTATTTGTGAAGAAATAACCTCTCTTCCTGACAAATTCAACGTCTGCCATTGTTTTTTCACTAAAAGTGGGAATTTCCCCTTGTCCAAGTCTAACCCTCCTGACCCTTTTTCATAACAAGAGGAGTCAACATGCAGGAGCTAAAATGGGATCATCCCCTGCACCACATGATCCCACAGGCCCTGACAAGCTCTGATCCCTCTTTGTAAACCTTGGCCTGTGACAGGAATCTCAACCATGCCAGGAGAAATATTTACAAAAAGACGACCAAAATCTTTGCCACAGAATATTTTGGCCAGGGTTTGAGGAAGACAAGTAGGTAGCACCTGCCCACAACACCTCTGTGAGCACTGTGGGGGTTCTGTGTTTGTTTTGTGTGTGCTTTTCAATTGAACTTTAAGATCCAGGGTGGTGTAGGGAGCTGTCACTGAAACCTGCTAGGTCAGTGTGACACAGCTGAGACATTTTGAGGGCATCCCCAGGTGTCTGCAGGGACTCCAAGACAGCTTCGGTCTCCTGCATTTTGAGTCATTCTTCTACAAGAATCAGCATTTTCCATGTCTGCCCATTTTAATGTGCTTTGGGTTCTTGACTAATCCCTTCTGTGATGGGTGTTCCAGGCATGGAAGTGATCCTCTGCACTGGAGCCAAGAGCTGGAATTTCCAAGGCTGGGTGAAAGCTGGGAATCAAATGA